GAAATCGGGAATTGTATGGAAATTTCGCACCACGCTGGCGTCACAGAGCCGTATCAACGTCACTCCAACCTGGGTTCCCGAACATACCAATATTGAAGCAAATAAGTCGGCTGATTAGATGGCCAGATGACGCTCAGAGAGCGGATAGCCACTGTTTGGTAATCAGGTTAGGAAAATATCTGAATACAGTTGAATATACAGTGACCGCAACTCGTGACTTGTGGAACAGACGGGAAGACTGTGAGATCACAAGATTATTATAGGCGCGGCTAAGTAGGAAAAAGACAAAGGACATATTGAAACTCAATAGATCTGCAGTAAGAGTCCTTACCCGCATCATAACAGGAGACTGTGCTATAGCATCAATGCTTCAATAGGCTGCTATGATGAGCCGGAAGAAGAGTCAATTGACCACATTCTGTGTCGATGTCCAGGACTACAGACGAAGCGCCTCAAACACAAGGGTTCACGCTTCTTCAACGGTCAGGGCGAGATAGCGGAGGTAACACTGTTGGATCTCCTCGGCTGCATTAGGGATAATAATTGGTTCAGTAGATTAAGGACTTGAAGCTACCATTTCGATTATAGGTACGTGTGTCCTGGACATTTCTGTCTCCGAATAAAAGCATGGAATACTCCACACATGCGCTACTAACCTAAACTAACCATGACACTCAGATATGGTCAACTAAGCGATATTTTTTTTTTAATTTTGCATTTCTGTATCAAAAGCAACATTTCGAAAAAAATTCGCTTACGGTATTTTAGCGGTTAGGGCTCGATATATTTTGGTATATGGAAAGTTGTGTGCCTTTTTCTGCATTTACTGTGCTATCTGTGGTATGAGTTTTTTTCCAAGGCATGTATATATGTTTTAGACGGGACCAATTTCTGTTCCATGCTAGCCTCAAAGTATACCTCATGTGCCTACTTAGTAATTCCTCAACTGTTTCGCTACTGTAAATATTGAAAAGGCCCTTAACCCAGCCAAGAGAAAATCAAATATGTCTTCTGAAATACTCGCGCTTTTCTATTTTGCAGTTTGTAATAGGTTTTTTCAATAAAAAAACAGTAAAAAAAGTGCTTTTCGTCTATCCTTATAGTTTTTCAAGTCCTTGCGGTAGCGTATTAATTATGTTTCCATATAATTTTCTAGTTCCGAGTCGCTGGTCTTGTTGGAAATATTAGAACAGATGAAGTGTATGTAGTTGTCAAGCTGGAAATGGATTTCTATTAAATTTTTCTACCTCTTTTCAGGTACCTCTTTTGCAATATTTATGAAAATTCCATAGAAAAAGTAACACAGGAATTAGTAATTGAACAGGCTGACCCTTTATTTATTTGCAAAACATATGAGTTTTCTGGGAATATTCGAAATCAGAAGTAAGAATTTGAATAAATATTCAATTCGAGCGTTTATCCTTTAGTAGCTTCTAGAAATTTCTTTCTGCTGCTCTATGGATAAAAATGGATAAAGTGCTGAATGAACAGCTAATAAAGAGCATATATGTATATGTATTAAAAAACAAAAAAACTTCCATAACAACCTTTGTACACATAGTAAATATAACTAGAATATCAGCCCATAACTACAGGTGTTCTTTATTATTCAAGTCGTAAATTGCACCATTGTGCACTGGGCACAAACAAACTTATTGCATACATAACGGGTGATTTTTTTGAGGTTAGGATTTTCATGCATTAGT